TGCTGGCTAATCTACCGTAATGGAATATTTTATAAATATACATAAATATACGTCCAAAAATTAAAAAAAACGGTGACGTATAAAACCTTACCAAAACTGCAAAAATGAAGATACTTGAATTTTGCAAATTGCTTTTGCTTTCTGCATATTTACACTATGTGTGTACCAAATTTCAAGTGTCAGCAAAGCTTCGAACAAATTTGGCAAAGTTTCGAGTTTCAGATGCCGATGAATGTATAACGCCTTATGGAACAAAAAGTTTTGCTCTCCTGATTTTCGGCTTTAGCGTCATTATTGTATATATATTGAACTATAGTTTTCGAAAGTTTTATCACTTTTTGTTTATAACTGACATTTTTACAGCAACAAAAAAAATTGGCGTTTTATACCGTTTTTTCAATCTCACGGCTTTGTTATTGCAAATTTCGTAATCGGACCACCGCCATTTTGTAGCTATTTTTATTACGAACAAAATCAAGTCCTAAACATTTTTTCGTACAGTCATCCCGCTGAGTTATTTAAAGAAAAAAAAATTTTTCGCGATTAAATTGTTAATAATTTTTTTTCCTGATAAAATACTTTGTCAGCAAATTAGCCTGTTATTGTACTCATCATTTAAATTATTCCTGTGTAGTTATTTCCGAGTTATCAAGAAAATGTCACCAACAGTAACTTTTCGGCCTCTGCCGACTGGAGTATCTACAATTCCTATGGTGGAGTGTCTGCTCTGGCCCATCCGCAAATATCCCTATAGTTGGGCAGGCCTAAGCGCGTTGTGTATTGATTTTATGACATGTGTCTGCTTTTGTGTCTGCTTTGGCCCACTGATGATTTGCTTTTTTGGGGTTCTAGGAGGGGCCATAGCAGACACGGTGATGTAATTACCAAAATAAAATAGAGTGATTCTATAACTCATTTATTTCAAAAAATAAACATACATTCAAACGAAATCGACTAAAGAAACTCAACGTATGTTATTGATCTTCCATTTAGAAATGACAAAAATAAAAATGGTTAAATAAACAAAACAAAGTAAATAATATTTACTTATACTAACATTAGGTAATATTATGTGCTTCATTGAAGCAATCCAAACAGAACCTGGGCTGAGTTGTTCCCTAGCTAATTGTACTAGTCGTTTCGATCTGCTACTCATTATGGCGCTGCACTCGTTTCTACCGCGCCACTATAATATACCCTGCTAGAAAATGCAGGTTCGGACGTGTCTGCTAACAATTATGTGTCTGCTAAATGTGTCTGTTTTGGTCCTGTGATAGATCATGATGTGTCTGCAAAACATGTCTGCTTTGGCCTAGCAAGGCAAAATATAATCACTTTATATAAAATATAAAAACTTTTTTTGCTGTCTTGGGTTAACATTCTTAAACGTCTAATATCATTGGTTTTATACACTACGCCATCTATTATGTCGACAGTAGTTCTGCGTTCTGCTAAATATCTTTATCATCCCTTGTTTTATTGAATGAAATATTATAAAACTCCTGACACTTTAAATTTGTGCGTAATATTGTTCCTTTTCAGTATGCGATGAATCTCTGACCAGGATCTTACAGAGAGAACCTCATCCACTCCACTTTGAAGGAAACGTCTGCACAGGACCTCTGACTGAACCAATTTCGGTTTGCAGCGGAGACTCGGGGGGGCCGCTTTTACAAGACGGAGAAGTCATAGGCGTCGTTTCGTGGGGTATCGTACCGTGTGGTAATTCCCAAGCACCTTCCGTGTTTGTGAAGGTCAGCCACTACGTCGATTGGATTTCAGCAAACGTCGATGAACCTTTATTGTTGAATTGAGTAATCAGAAAATAAAAATGATTATTAAAATATATTATTATAAATTAGTTTTTTTTACGTTAGTAACCGATCTATCTGCCAATATTAGCTAATATTTTATTAATCATGTACATTTTTTTATTTTCTAAGAAACAATAGAATGTTTTTTTTTTAATGTTCGACTCTTCGTTCACATTGATACAGAAAAATATGGTGACTTTAAAATAACACGTCGCTAAGTCGTACAAAAGCAATCTGTTTCACTAAATTATTTTCTGTCACACTATCACTATTCTATAGTCCCTCTCAAGCAGTTGTTAAAAAAGGTAACAGCTGGCAATGCTTATTTTGCACTGATACAACTTTCCACATTAATTCCCGGTCACTCGATTTACGGCGACTATTTGAATATTAATAGGACACGTACTAATAATAATAATAATAATAATAATAATAATATTTATTCAACTAATATCAACAATACAATAATGTACATATATACACATATATACATACATATACATAAAAAGTGAATAAATATATACTCGATAAGTGTTTAACACTTGTTTCAAGATAAACACAATAAAAGGAAAGGAATACAGTACTTACAATGAAATTTCAGTGCATATTCACAATAAACATACATATATTACATATAAACCAACAGTTGCATAAAAATACAGTACACTAAAAAAATACACAAACTACATCAACGAACTAGGTGCACTAGTCTGCTGGAACCTAATGAAAATATTCATACAACACTTCTCTAGGCGTTTCCAATATATATATTTTAAGTTTTTTCTTGAATGAAGAAAATGACGCATTATGAATTTTTAAATAATCAGGTATCGTATTATATAATTTTGGAGCCAAATACATATTGGATCTTTGACCTATATTTTTTTGCATCAAAGGAGGTAAGTATTTATTTATTTTCCTTGTTTCATAGTGATGTGTGATTAATTCGCATTTGTCCTCTACTAAATGATATCTAGAGATACAATTATAATAGTATAGTTGCCTTATATCGAGCATTTTGGCTTCACTAAATAATTCGCTAGTAGAGTAAGTTTGTTCCTTCTTAAATATTATCTTTAGAAATCTTTTTTGCAGTATTTGAAGAGGTTCAATATGACTCTTAACAGCAGAGCCCCAGGCTAATATAGCATAATTTATATGGCTTTCCACTAAGGAGTAATAGATGGTCTTCAAATACTGCATGGATAACAAACTACCGAGATACTTAAAGGTATGTATTATTGACTGAAGTTTTTTTATAATATAATTTATATGATTATCCCAACGTAAATGACAATCTAATAATACACCTAAATATTTGACTTTTGTTTCAGGAAGAATCGTAAAAATGTTTCTGTTGATTTCTATATTCAAGCAATCAAAGGATGGAATTGTTGATTTATTACATGTAAAAGGTAAGTAACTAGTTTTTTCCAGATTAATTGTTAACAGTTTATAGTTAAGCCAGTCATTAATATATGACAGATCTCTTTGTGCAACTTCCTTCAATTGATCCCATGTTTCAGCCCAATGAAAAACGGCTGTATCATCCGCAAATCCTATAATAAAGCCTTTAACTGGCAAAGTGAATAGATCATTTATATATATTAAGAATAATATTGGCCCCAATACAGTACCTTGCGGTACGCCATATTCAACGGTTAATTTCTCACTGCAAACATCACCCACTCTCACGCATTGTTTCCTATTTTTTAAATAACTTTCCATTAGTTTAAGGCACTCTCCTCTGACTCCTATATTTTCTAATGACTGCAAAAGTAGAGAATGGCTGACAGTATCAAAGGCTTTGGTTAAATCAATGAACGTGCATAAGCAAGGCAAACCCTTATCAAGTGCTAGGGAAACTTTGTTTATAAGTGTAATGATTGCATCTTGCGTCGATGTGTTTTCCTTAAAGCCATACTGTTCCTGAGCTAGGAGTTTATTCCTATTTAAAAATGATACTATTCTATTTTTAATAATTTTTTCAAAAATTTTGTTAAAGTTTGTTACTAGAGAAATCGGTCTATAATTATATGCTTGTGTATTATCACCCTTCTTGAAAATGGGAATAATGATAGAATCTTTAAATGCAGAAGGCCAAATACTAGATGTCATACAGTTATTTATAATGTAAACTAATGGTTCAATTAAAAACATGGCAACAGATTTTATTATTTCTGAACTTAAATTATCATTTCCAGGTGATTTGTTATCTTTTAATTGTAATATTACGTTTTTTAGTTCCTGGTTATCTGTAGGTAGCAGCACTAATGATGATAAAGAGTTTTTTTTTGTAAATGTAACATTTTGATTAAGTTTTGGTTTTATTTTTTGAGCTAACGATTTTCCTATATTTGCAAAGGTTAAATTAAATTCATCAGCCATATCTTTAGAATTTGTTAT